TTCCTTCCTTCCTTTCTTCCTTCCTTCCTTTCCTTCCTTCCTTCCTTCCTTCCTTCCTTCCTTCCTTCCTTTCTTCCTTCTTTCTTTCCTTCAATTTATTTATTTATCTAGGCAGGGTCTTGCTACATTTCCCAGATTGGTCTCAAATTTACAATCTTCTTGCCTCTACATCCACCTGGGATTACATATGTGTGCCAACATGCCTGGGTTCTTAAACAAAGTCAAGAGCTGAATACTGTATCAGAATCCACAATGGAGTCAAAGCAGACTCAAGGATTAAATTGACTATTTTAAAAATGCTAAATAGAAACCATGAACCTATTAACCATGTATCTATTAAGGGAACATTTGAACTCTGAGAAGTCTGTCCAAGTTTCTCCACTATGGCTATGAAAGGACAAAATTAAAGTATTTGAGCTTATGGTTCACAAGAATTAGCCTGAGTTAAATAATATAAAATATAAAAATCATCAGAAAAAGAAAATGAGCTATCATTGTAAAACTAATCAGAAGATAATTCCTCTACGGAGCCTCTGGATAGGAAGGAATGCCAAAGTACACCAGATACACTAGCCTGACACAATAGCCATGATGTGATTTCGTACTTATTGAGAGAAAAAGTCTACTTGTAGAAAGAAATAGATGTATCACTACTTTAATAACTAAATGACTATTATTTAAAGATATTAATGCTTAAAAAATGAAATATTTCAAAGCCTGTTAAGGCAAAGAAACCTGTATAGTCTGTTCACAGAAAAACTGTATTTGCGACAAGAGAGTGAGTTCAACCTTTATTGCTAATAAACAGAGACATTATATTTTCAGCACAAGGAATAAAATCACATTTGTGGTAATAAATGTCTGTTCTCCTGGTCTCTGAGTAAACCAGAGTGGTGCACTTGTCACTCTTTTTCTTCTCTTAACAAATGTGGTTACTCGCCTGAACCCAAACTTAGGTGGCTGGTTTAATATTTAAACTCTTTCTCAAATGCAATATTTTCGTGTATATATTATTGAAAAAATATATTACATCTTTAGAAAGGAGAAAATATTAGTGTTACTTTAAAATTCAGTCCTTAATAAAGGCAGAAAGCACTCTATTCAAGAATTTAAGGTAATGAGAAGGGGCCTTATAAGATAAAAACACACTGGATTCACTAATAAGAAAAATGTAAAAATGTATTTGAGTTTATTGAAAATTATCATTTTATGCGAAATCATCTTTTTAAAGTTAAAAAGGTATATCTACTATAATCTCTCTGATGAATTGATTTAGGAAACTGTCCACAAACCATACCATTATAATTCAAGAGAACTACATTTGAAATTCACCCAAAATGTTATCACAATTTTATTTAATTTTAATTTTAACCTTATCTTTTATCCCTACCTTCAATTTACTTAAAAGTGAAACATTTTTAAAATACTGGACTTTAAAAATGTACATATTTTGGTAAAATTATCACTAGGAATATAATTTAATCTGTAGGCCCTAATTTTGAAACATATATATGCTTTTGAAAGACCAAGAGGACCTATGTAGTCTATGCATAAAGACAAGAATCAACAGTTTCAAAGAATAAAATATGTGCTATTATTTTACTCAAAAATGGCTTCCAGTTGATATAGGTATAGAATTTCTCTATGAAGAGACAGAGACTTTTTATTCACAAATTATTTTAGACTACATATATCTAAATAAATACTTACTAAGGAGTAGAAAAATTTTTTAAAAACTTAACATACTCTGTTTTGATAGGTGGCACTCTTCCAGTCTTTTTTCATGAGAATATCCATATAGTAGGTATGCTTCCTGTAGAGCACTCTTGTACCATTTCTTTTTATTTGTACATTTTTCTGGCTATATAAATGCAAAAAAATACGATATATATTTTTTAAATAAAATTTTGTTTTAAATTCTACATTGATTGAACTCTATTGAGTTAGAGCTAAATTTAAGTGGACTATTGTGTATTATTTAGACTTCATGTCTGATTGATTTATTATTTAGCAAAATTGTGGAAATTTGGTAAATTAATAACTAAAGAACCAGATGCTTATTAAGTAACATAAAATTATAATGTGTTTCAACTTTTTTTTTTTTTTCGGAACTGGGGATTGAACTCAGGCCCTTGAGTTTGCCAGGCAAGCGCTTATTCTCTGAGTCATCTACCCGGCCCCTCAACTTTTATTTAGGAAATTACAAAATATTACAATTCAATATGACAAAGTAGTCAATTTTCATGCATATTTTTAGATATATATTAATATCACTTTAAGTGGCATAGCAATAGTGCTGAAGCAGTAGCAAACAACCAAGTTTATTGGAAAGATTTATTTCTATTTACATGTGCTTTACTGTTATAGCAGATATTGGCATATACATTCATATACATTTTTTAAACTTTCTTTGCTCCAGTTTATCTGTAAAATACAAATATTAACAATACATATATCATAAAATTGGATGAGTACTAAATGAAAACTGATGACACTGTTTTGCAATGTTAATGAATCAAAAGTTATTCTACTTGGACACAGCATAGTGTTCAAGTGTTTCATTTTTTAAAGTATAGCATCAAAAGTTAAAAATGACTATAAAAATTATCAATTACAAAAAAGCATTCCAAGGTTTTAAAATATTCCAAAGTTTTAAAATACAATGTTTTAAAATATTATCATTTATAAAATGTCTGACACTTTTTCTTTCAATAACATTATCATAAAAAGAATATAGTTATTAATTCTATTAACCTATATTTACCATCTGTGCATAAAAATCATACATATTTTATCTCATGTATATAATTCCACCTTTACACATTGAATTTATTTAATACCTATACTAAATCATTTCAGAGAATGAAATTGTATATTTTGGCATACAGAATCTATAAATATTAGTCTTTGTTTTTAAGGAAAAAGGTAAAAATGCAAGCTTGTTAAATGTATTAACACTGGAAATTTTAAATTATTTTAAAAATATCGAAACTAGCTTTTGTATATTTAAGACATTTTTGCCACTGTAATGTTATTAGGGTGTAAAATAAATTAAAATGAAAAATCATTCAATACTTAAACAGAACAAAACAATGTCTATAATAGGAATAGAATTAAGGAACTTGTTAAGAAAATGTGGCTATTGAGAAAAACTAGTGTGACAAGAGTTAAAATGAACTTCAGTGAGTCAAGAGATTGAAAAGCTGTTTCAAACTTATTTGGGCTCCTTTAGGAACTTATTGGTAGGGATATGCCACCTACTGGTTGTACAAATTAACACTTAAGCAACCCAAAAAGAATTATGAATTGCAGAATTATGCTGAGTGTGCATAGCACTTGAATAAATTAATGTAGACCGTTGTACACATATAAATGTGATTGTTTTAAATGAAAAACTAAGACATCATCTGAAAGCTTTATTATGTCTTTTGAAGCAAAAATTAATATAAAACCTGGTCTTATTTTGGGGAAAATATAGTATGTATACTCACATACAAGGTACATTATATACTACTATCACTATTTATTTGAAACATGCCTTAGTGATCAATATTTACATTTTTCTCTCACATTATGAATTTGAAACAATACTGTAATTAAAATAAAACTCATGTTACATTTTCCTCATGTGAGAGTTTATTGAAGGATAAATTCTTAGACATTGAATCAGTAGATTTACTGTATGGGTATTTAAAATTTTCAAAGCTACAGTAGAATTACTACAATGAATTTATAGTTGACAGTGCCACAAGCTATGTTTTTCTCACACCATGCATGAAAAATACTTCTGCTATGCTCCAACATTTTAGATTTATTGTCCATCTTCTCATTGGCAAAAATTATTTTGTATTTGTTATCATTTCTATAATCAAGAAACTATGGGTCAGTTTTCATATTTCTTGCCTATTTCTTTTCTAAGGAATGACTGTCAAGGTCTTTGTTAATACATATATGGATCTTATTGACTTATGAAAAATATTTAAATACTGAAAGAAACAGCCCTTTTCTGCGTTTGTGACAAATAATTTCCTGGAAATAGTTTACTCTTATTTTGAAATTTCTTGGTTGTTCAATTAAGCTTTTCATTCTGCTTTTTAAAATTAAATTTAGTGGTACACGTTAGATATATACAACCATCACAGGGAATTTGTACCTGTACATGATATGTCCTGTTTCCTCTTTTTTTCTCCCAATCCCCTCTTATCCCTTCACACTTTTTCTCATTTACAAAGCTTTGTTTTCGCTTTATCCTTCTTTTGTCATTTTTTCCTTTCATTCTTCCTCACTCCTCCTTAGTTCTCCTTTCTTTTGAACCATTTCTTCCTATTTCACTATAGCTCTTATACACTTTGGTCCTTATTTACTTCTGATTTCTTACATCAAAGAAACAATGTGATATTTAAACATGTGTGTCTGATTGTGTGGTCACAAGGTACATCCATTCATCGAGGAATGCCTCAAGTCTCTCCTTTCTGGATGAGTAGTACTGCATTGTATAAAAAACCTAAACTTTCTAAACTATTCTTTAGCTACCTTGTTTTACACAGAGGCCAAATTCCCTGGAAGAAAGATAGCCTCTTCAATCAATAGTGTTGGAAACACTGGCTTTCCACATGCCAAAGACTAAAAATAGACCCGCATCTCTCACCATACATCAAACTAAAATTGAAAGGTATCAAAATCTAAATATTAAAATGGAAATATAAAACACTTTTGAAGACATAGGTGTGGGCAAAGATTCCATGAGAAATGGGCCGACGATATGGGAAGTACTACATAGAATCAACAAATGGGAACTCATTGTATTAAAAAGTTTTGCACAGTAAAAGACATTACCAGTAAAGTGAAAAGAAGACTTTACCAGTAAAGTGAAAAGACTACCCAGGATAGAAAAAAAATTTAGCCAGTGGTCTCTCAGACAAAGGACTAATATGTACAACATATAAGGATTTTATAAAAAAAAAAAAAAAAAAAAAAAAAAAGGATGTTCCAAATTTAAAGGATCAATTCAAAAATGTACATTTGAGATGAGTATGCACTACTCAGGTGAAGAAATTCAAATGGTAATAAACATATGAAAAAATATTCAATATTTGAGAGATGCAAAGGAAAACAACTCTGAGATTCCCAATGGGTATTACGAAGAAATCACAGTAACAAATACTGGAGGGGCTGTGGGGGAAAAAGAACACTTCTGCACTGCTACTGGGAGTGTAGACTGAGGATACCACTTTAGAAATCATTGGGGAGATTCCTCAAAAAACTAGGGTTAGTGATCTCATTTGGCCCTGAAATGCTCCTGCTAGGTTTCTTCCTGGAATAATTCAAAACCATGATTTATGTGCATACCACTGTGATATATGCACATACATGTTTATAGAAGCACAGTTTGTAATATGTTCCCAAGTACTTATCATTTGTACCTATAGTATTTGTTGTACCAATACAACCTTATTATTTTTTTTTTTTTGAGATGGGATCTTACAACACTTTCAAGGCTGATCTTAAACTTCTAAGTTCAAGTCATTCTCCTGGTTTAGCCTCTTAAGAAGCTGGGACTACAGGCATGTATATTGTGAATTCTCAATGTTGTACTAAGGGGCTGTCATGGCATGTGATGCCAGGGCTTGAACCGCGGGCCCCTGCATATGCTTAAGCTTGCCTAAGCAGCTGCTTTAGACCACAGAGCTATTTCACTGGCCCTCAGTAATGTTCTATTAGTCTGTCACATTACTGTAAGCAATAAACTGCTTTAACTATTATAGCTTTGTCAATTTTTTGTACTTTTTATTTTTGGTATTGTACTATATCTTACTATATTATCTCCCACTGTCTTATTCTATTTCGCTACCAACTTTAGGTTCAACTTGTACTGGTAAAACCTTGTCTTTGTAATTGATATTTATTACAAAATTCAATTCTAAAATTAATTTAGATAAGAGTGACATGTTCCATGTTAAAATTTCCAAATCAAAAATATTACTTATTTCTATTTACTAAAGTTGTTTTCTGGGGGCCGGCCAAATAGCTCAGTGGATTAAGGCAAGTGCAAGCAGGCACAGGGGCCTGGGGTTCGATCTGCTGGCCTGTGGTGCGAGCCCTGCCCCCGGGGAGCAATGAGACAGCAATTGAGACTGGGCATATTGGCACACGTCTGTAATCCTAACTCTTGGTAGGCTGTAAACAGGCGGATCACTATAAGTCCGATCTAGTAGTGAGACTCTGAACACCCTGTAGACCCTTCCTTAAAATACAAAAAAAAAAAAAAAAAAAAAAAAAAAAAAAAAAAAAAAAACCCTTCTATATTATAGTAACATTTTAAAGTTTTATTCATGTGCATTTTACACATTAATTCTCAACCTTACTTTAGGATATTTTCTACATAGGTATTGCTGATATTGTGTTATTCCCTCCATATTTTCAAGCTGGTTACTAACGTATAGTAACTGTATAACTTGACACATAACTGAATGACATTGCTATTTTAATAGTATTTCAATTACATATGAAAGTTTTGGGGCCAGGGAGATGGCTCAGTAGAATAAGTGCTTCCCTGGCAAGCTCAAGGGTCTGAGTTCAATCCCTGGTTCTGCCAAAAAAAAAAAAAAAAAAAAGGAAGTTTTATTTATAATACTTTATTTTTCATTTGTTTTCCATAGAAATCCACATATATACATATCTACTAGAATATTTTGCTTTTTCCTTTTCTGTTGGGGTATTATTGCTTTTTTTTTTTTCAGTACCAGGGATCAAACTCTGGACCTTGCACTTGCCAGGCAGGTGCTTACACCACTGAGTTATATCCCTGGCCCATGTTGCTTTTTTCTTTGACTATATTAGCAATTAGACCAGGGAAAATGT